GGTTTGAAAGGTCCCTAACTGGTCCAGTCAAGCCATAGACAAGCGCGTCCCCTATGCGTCTGCCAAAATCCCCACTCCTGTGCAGTAAATGTCTTTTGTGCTCTGCTTTCGGAATTCGACTTGGATCGTGACTTAGACATCTCAGACAAGTCTTGTCAATTTCACATCCATACGACGCACTCTTCCTACATGGCTCCACGCAAATTGCAGCCTCCTGCTGCAATCCTTCCAAATGTTCGTACTCTTTGATCCAGCTGTGAAACATGCGCAAGTGCCGTCCACTAGCCTGGCACAAATCGGAATGACAGGACTCCCACATCGGATCAAAAAGCGCTGCAAACCCCCGCCCCTAAGGAAGTGCAAGATGAAGCTGAACCTTACCATCCCCACCTTGGGGCAAATCCTCTTCAAAAAGCTCGTGAATGTGGTCCTGCTGACTCCCCGCTCATCCTCAGCAAAAGGAGTTCAGAATATGTTCAGCAGAGTGGGCCACATCAGGAACTACTTTCTATGTCAAAGACAAGCATATAAATCGCTACTGGCAATATCAAAAAGTCCTATATATATATATATACATACTCTTCAGCCGGGGTAGCAAGAGGTGACGTCTGTCAGGAATCTTCGAGTACAACCAGAATCAGAACATGAAGCCAGAACGAATTGCTGAATTGCCAGAGTTAGTTTAGGACCTTGCAACTTCTCTGGACCCAAAGCTCCAAGCTGTGTGGGAAGGGGTAAACTCCACTTTGCACTGCCCCAGCGTCTTCCGTGGCGTCCAATGCTCGATGCAGTTTATCAATCCAAAGATTTTGGTCGACAGGTCCCACTACAGCTTCCGCTTCAGAATGGGACATGCCTCGGCTGCGACCACAACTACCCTACTAGTAGATGAATGAATCCTTAAGCATCGAATTGCAGGTTTTTAAGCCATTGGTCCTGATTTGAGCGGGTAAATCTGCTATTTGGGGAGCGACTTCCGGTTTGTTTTTGCTACATCTGTCTGACAAAAATTTGGTGAAGATGAGAGACCCAGGTCTCAACCCAAACGACGATGATCAAATATCCTGTAACCCCGGTTTGAAGTGACCACATCGTTGAGTGCTGCCAACATACCAAAACCTCCAGTGGAGAGACAGTGGTTGAACAGCTTGTGCGCAACCTGAAGGGATGAAACTAGATGGCCCTGGAGAATGAGCTACGCCAAGCCAATAAAACAAACAATTCAATGATACGTCACATAGATTCACATGGGTCATGATGGGTCATTCACACACTTCCCTGAATATAACGAAGAAGGTTGTAAAGCAGCCTCCCCACATCTCCCACTGCATCTCAGCGACAACTACCTCATTTCGATTGAGAAATGTTGCGTCCAATGACGCTGCTGTCTCTAGCGGCGGAACCACCGGCGCCGTATGCGAGAGTCGAAACTTCCGATCTTAGCCCCACTTGCTGGCAAGGCAAACGGAAGCAACAAACTTTTGGGAAATCTTAGCATTCCGCCGTTCCGCCCTATAGTTTTCTCCACAGCACATACAGTCGCTTTATCGGATGGATCATGATGCACAGATTCTAGGCACCGTACCCTCATCTTCAAACAATTCTGGGTCTTCTTCCTGCACGGAAAAATCTTCAGCCGCCGAGAAATTGATAGACCCTACTTCTCCCTGCCCCAAACTCTGGGTGGGGGACCGAATCTCTATCACCCTTACTACGTCTTGATAAGTTTGATGAGGCTCTCGTCAAGATCTTGAAATTCTCATGTTCTCTCCAGATTGAATCCTGCCAAGTTTTTCTCCTCCCCAGGCGCGGAGTATCGATAAATGAAGAGGGCGAAAGGTGCATTGAGGGCATCGCTGTTTTGGCCCAAAAGCCAATCCTGCCAAATCTGCCAGTCGCTCAACCATCGTTTGCATCGTTTGCAACTTGGAGGCGGCCCGGATTAGATTTCACAGTAACATAGACAACAGATTGAAATTGAATGGGATGACTGTCAGAGAGGCGAACTGTCTGTCTGCGTCAAAACAACCAATTAACCGCTTTGCAACCCAACAGCAGGCTCCAGGGTTCCAGGGTTGCAATGTTCTCGGGCAAGGCCCCAAGGTTTTGCAGGATTCCAGGGTTCCACAGTTGCAGGTCTCCAGGATTGCACAGTTGCAGGTTTCGAGAGTTCCAAGGTTCCAAAGTTCTGGATTGCCAGGGTTCTGGGGTTCCAGGTTTCCAGGGTTCAAGGTTCCAAACATCAAGGTTCCAGACTTGTAAGGGTCTTGGTTTGATTCATCAACAACGAAATGACCAGCGCCATGCAAAACAAATGCCAAACAAATTATGATCCATAGTAAAGCGTCAATTCTACAGCTTCACAAGGTTCCAAGGTTCAAAGTTTTCCACAAGGCTTTCGGTTTCCAGCCAGGGTAGCAAGGCTCTAAGGTTGCAAGAGGCCAAGTTCGGGGTTCCAAAATTACATGACTCGTTTAAAAATTCCAAGTTCCCTGGTTCCAAGATCCATGGACCAAGGGACCCATACTATGCGAGTCCCAAAATGCAGGGTTTCAGGTAAAGCTTGAGGGTTTCCAGTGCGCAAGGTTACCACGGCTCACGGCAAGCACAAAGGTTCCAGTTGCAAAGGGTCGAAATTTCCGGGATTCCAGGGCTCCAGGGTTGCAGGATTCTAAGGTCGCGGGGTTCCAAGGTTCCAAGGCTACAAGGCTCCAGGAATCCAAGGTTGCAGGTTTCAACGGTTTCAAAGCTCCAGGGTTCTGGAATTATAGGTTCCAGAGCTCTCCAGAATTCCAAGGTTGCAATGTCACGGGGCAAAGTTCCAAGCTTGCACCACGATCTCAAGGATGCAGGTTTCCAAGGTTTTAGGCTTAATTTAAGATTGAAGGGTTCCAAGATTTTAGGGTTTCAGGGTTCCAGGGTTCCTGGGTTCCAGGATCTATCGCTCCAGGTTTTTCAGGGTTCGACTGGTAGGATTTGCCGCACATTCATTAAGCAGAGAAAAATGCAAACTAATAAAACAAAATTCAAACAAAATCTGCAAGTTTTGTTAACAAGGTTCTAGCAGAGTTCCAGCAAGGTTCGAGCAAGGTTTCACCAGGCAGCAAGGTTCCACCAAGGTAAGGTTCCAGCAAGGTTCCAGTAAGGTTTCGCCAGTACTGTTGCGGTTTTTCGGGGCGTGCATTTTCCTGTCACCACTCCCCGGGCGCAGAGATTGAAACCCAACAGATTCACTGTTGGGAACTAGTCCCCTGTCCTGGAGAATGACCCTGAAAGTCTGAAAGTTCCTCTTAGGAATTATACCTTCAATCCGTTCACACCCAGTGAATCAAAACCATGCACTCATTCCTAGTCGAATGTTTCAGTCAAGATTCAAGATGAACGTCCACGAAAGTTCATGGTGAAGTTTAGCCTGTCTTAAATATGCGTAAATGAAATCTGTTTGGAGACTTGTCGCGGAAGCACCCAGCGCCTCAATGACAGTAAAGGGCATACTCTCGTCCAAAAAACAATCTCCTGGTAGGGCTGCATTGTAACAAATTGCAACTCACAGGTGGCGTAAGCAGAACACCAAAGAGGTCCCAAGACTGTGGCTTTTCAGGGTTTTCCCCCTACTGGCCCAAAATGGCCCAAGACAGTCACCAGATTCGCCAGGAAAAAGTGCAAATCCTTAGCCCACCTCCATCCACCGTCCTGTCTTGTCTCGATAGAAATCAATGATGCGCCCGAAGAGGCGCCTAGCCAGAGCTTCCATGCGCTGCTTGGAGGGCATGGCGTCCTTCAAATTCAGCATGTTGAACCTCTGGGTGGCTCAGCAACAAGACCTATGTCACGAGGCACAACAAAACAGTGCATTCTCCGCCCTGTTCACACTTCTGCAAACCTGCAGTTTCAGAACAGCAAGATGATCTTGACATGTCAGACTATGTCAGACTAAGATGTTTTGGTTCATCCCGATGCGTTTTCCAAGCTCTCCCCACACACCATGCAAGCTGGATAGCTACAAGCACAGCTACCAGACATGAGGCAACGGAGTATTACACACCGGGGCAACGGACTCTTAAGGGCTTCAGCTACTCACAGGAACAGCCCAAAGTTCCACCCGGTTCTGCCGGGTGGTCACATAAACTCATAAACTTCCAGCATACAAGAAATGGCGCTACAAAATTGTTCACACCTTCTCACCTGTTCCAAGCTCAAGATAACTCTGGGTCTGATCAATTGAAAGCAACTCATATCATCCAAGGGGCATGGCACCCATGCCACAGAAAAGTGCGAGCAGCATCTCCACAAACTCTTCCTCCTCAAAGGCGCGATTGTCGTTCTCGTCGAAGATTCCTTGCAATCAAGACTGATGTCGTCATGACGGAAATCAGCAACAGCAACAGAAAAATTGGAAAAAAGCTCGGCAAAGCGGCAAAACCATGTTACACCAATTGCACCAAGATTCCCAGCAAGAAGCGGATCTTTTGCTTCTTGGAGATCGCCTTGGTGGGCTGGAACCGCTGAGCAAGACCTGTCTGGCTTGGTGTCTGTTTGCTCTGTTTGTTTGGTGCCTTGAGAAAGCGCTACAACTCAGATATATAGCCATCATAGCCATCATAGCCATCATAGCCATCATATAGCGACCAATGCTGGGCCCAGGCTTGGAGATTTCAGATCGGATGGAAGGAGGCAAGAGATCGCAAGGGAACAGACATGAACAGAGTCCTTTCTTGTGGAGAACCCAAACGATCAGCGCTTTCTCATGCAGGATGTGCAGTTGTATGCCAGTGTATTTTGATGTATTTTTGCCGTGATTTTCCGTGGCTTGTTCAACTTCGTTCCGCTCTTTTCTACTTGTGCTTGTCTGATTTGCCAGATTTCCCCCCAAGGCCACTCTGCGTAGCTTTTGAGCACTGCAAACATCTATATACCTTTAAGCACGTCAGCACAATACATTTTGGGCCATAAGTATCGTACTCAGCAAGCCGTTTCACTTAGCAAACTACTGAACATTCTCAATCTTGTCCGCTTATCTCAACATCTCTATCTCGATTTGTCTGCACCAAGAAGCTCATGTCTAAACTTCCAAAACAGTGCACTAGCTGTCATTAGCTCTTGAGACTGCGCATTTGTTCCAAATTAAGGAACACAGCAAACGTTGCTTGGTGGTCGGAGTCTAAGGACCTCGGGGGAAGCAATCTGGTGCGGTCTGCTCCACGAAGAAGTAATCTGGAAACATCTGGAAACAGGATAGCCTGTGATAACCTGTGATAACAATCTCATTATCTTCTCATTATCTTCTCATTATCTTCTCATTATCGTCTCCATTTAAATGTGCCAAGGTGCCCCTGACTTGGGAGAGTTGGGGGAATGAAAACACAACATAATTCCAGCCAAGGAGCAGTGGACATCAAAATACAAACTGTGATCAATGGAGAAATTGGAAGTTTTATTCTCACATAGTCCTGGAAGCGCAAGCTAGTCTGGATCACTGGAAGAATTGGATTTGCAATTTTTAAGACATTTCAAAACCACAGGCAGGCGATGAGAGGGAACATTGGAGCATTTGGTCAGAATCTGAGCTTGACCTACACACAAGTCATTCTGCCTTCCGATGTCAGCCCACACATACAAACAAAACAAAATCAGTCGTTCAAGCCTTGCTGTATCCATGCACGGATTGCTGGTCTTACGAGTAGTCGAATAATCAAAAAGATCCCACTGCTGAGTCACACACTAGACAAGAATGGATCATTATATGATCCGGCAGGAACTGAATCCTGAAACATGCAGATTAGATACGAAACAATGAAATTAACGATGCAGCCTACGAATAATGGAAGTACTTCAGAATGGTCATCGGGTTCAGAATCGCATCAAAAAGAATAAATAAACCAGCAATAATATCATCGGCGATGTCTCGGCGAAGCTTAGCCAATAAATAAATAACTGTCGGCGACGATGGTGTCGGCGATCATGTAAACAGATTGTTCCAAGTATGTTTTCTACGTCCTTGCTCTGAGGAAGGTTCTGATGTAGCAAAAACCATTACATGGTTTCGGCGAAAATACAGATTGTGGCAACCGTGAAGAAATAAATAAATTGACATTGACATTGACATTGAGGTTCTTGGGTTGAGCCTCTTCCCATCAGCAAACATGGACAATTGAATAGAAGCAAACCCTGAACAACCGGTGATCACAACAACGCAGGTACGTCACTGGACGTCTCCAGTGATATCCTCAGGACACTGCAGAGAGCTTTGTTAAGTGGAGCTCTGCAGGCCTGCTCCACTCCCCTGCAAATGTGAAAAGATTCCCGGCAAATGTGAACAGATTTGAATCAAAGAAGTTTTACATCTGTTCAGATGTTACACACACACACACCCCGCGTGTAGCGGGGTTTGATTTTTTGGATGAGCAACGCAGCAAAAGTTGGCAAGATTATTCAAATACAAAAACCGTTTCCGGTACTAATGTACAGAGCCGTGTTCAATCACTCAGAAGGGAGGTGCGTCCCAGCTTGAAGTGTTTGGATCGCGTCACGGAAGCTCATGTCCTCAAGCATCCTCCACGTGTCGTTGAGTTCCCCCGATGCCATAGCAGCCCTCAAAGTGATGGAAAGTTGTTGGGACAGGTCCTGAATCTTCGGAGTAAAGTGGGTTGCCTCCGTAGGTGCCGTGGGCTCAATGGGAACATTGTGATAAGGGTGATGTCCATGTACTAGAGGAATCTCAAAGTGATGTCGCCAGTAATCCGCTGTGCGCAGGGACCACTCCCAGTTGCCCGAAAGACCGTAAAAGTAGTGCTCAGGATCACGACATTTGGAAAGCCCGGACAAGGGGATCTCTTCAATGAATAGCGCCCTGGTATTGTTGGAGTGAGTAATGATCTTGAATTGGATCTGGTGAACCACGCGGGAAGAGAAGTGAGCACGATGGAGGTAGTGGTATGCAGGACGTTGCTCCGTCGGAAAAGGGGCGTCAAAAGGTGCGGGGCCTGAATATGTATCAGAATGGGTCGTGGTTCCAGTGTCGGTAGTTGTATTGTCAGCTGCTAAAGGTGCCGAAGGGGTCCCAGTAGTAGGATCAGGAAGACCAGAATGACATAGTGTAGAAGCCGGGCCGTCTGGTGCTTGATCAGGGTTGGTAGGAGCAAGTCCACGGTTGGGATTCGAAGGCCAAGCCAAGCCCGCCACGGTCGCGTCTCGTTTATGCTCCATGGGTGAAACGATCAGAAATGCGTGAGATGGTGCAACAAAAGCTGAGGTATCACGAAAATGCGAGAGTGAGCCCAGCCCAGGAATAAAAATAACCAAAATGATGATAAAAGTGAGGTCCAGTCATCAATCAAGTGGTTCAAGGTTCACGGAAAGGCAATAGTTCAAAGCCTAACAAAATGGAATTCCCAGAATCCTTCGTGTTGAAAATTGTCAACGGTAAAACGACAAACCCTCGAGCATTGTCTTTTTTGTGGCCAGTGAGCGTATCAGGGCAGGATCACACCGGGAGTAACTTTGCTGCATCGTAGACGTAGTACGAAAGGCTGTGAGGTACCCGGGACGAGCAAGGAGGATTCAATGTAGTTGTACTGTCGGAGTCGCCATTCGGGTCGGTATTCTTCCAGAAGCTGCATGATCGTCATCTCATTGGGGACTTGGAACGAATCACCTTCCAGGTCGCAATAGCGAAACTCCAAATTCGAAGGGTCAAACTGGATGTCCCATTGGGTCCTCAATCTTTTTGAAATGCGGAAACGTAGTTCTCCAATGGGAAGGACACCGGCTTCCACTGGTCCCATCTGACGTGACCAGGTGAACAGACCTTCAAGTTCGTAGCCAGTAACATTTTTGAGGTTTGAGCTAGCCAAAGCCATGTAGTGTTCACGGTCAGGTTCGCTGCGATGAGTCAGTTCCTGTAAGGGAGAGTAGTCAATCAAAATAAGGATAGGTCGGTATGGAGGAGGGTTCAAGTGACCAGGAAGGCCTCGGGGTCCAGCAAACCATCCAATGGTGCGGGTGCCCTCTGGTGTCTCAACCGTAGCTGTAGCGCGATATGGATGGGGCCGAGACGAATGAGCCATGGCGTTGAATGTCAGGTTTCGAGTATAAAGCGAAAAGCCCAAGCTGCAACATAGAAGGACAATGACCAAGGAATAAATCCCAAAAATTGGAAAATGGAGGGAAAAGGTATACCGAATGAGTAGTCACAAATCGACGTGTAGTCACCGTACCTTTTCCGATTCCGACAAATAATGTGGTGTATTACACACTGGAGTCAGACATATCCATCAGGTCCGTCTCGTTCGCTTCCAGTGGACCATGTACTTGTTGAGGAGGGATGGTGGGGCGATTGAGAGGTAAGGTACGTTGCAATGTTGCCGGTGGTGAAGAAGGTGGTGTAGACCGCCATGGTGGCCAATATAAAGAGGTGGTGGTTCCTTGAGAGTGGTGTTGGGCGGAACGTCCCCAGCATGACTGTAAAATATGGAGTTGGTCCGGTATCGCTTCGTACGGTTGGGAGACGTAGACGTTGGAGTGTTCCGGGTGTGGTAGAACAGGACCAGCAGTTGCCGTAGGGGAGGAGGATGATTGGAGTGGTACGTCATAGTATCGGCGCCACTGGTTGGCCGTGGTACGTAGGGTAGCAGCTGGTAGCACAATCGTTGGTGAGGTGCATGTTCTCCAGAAATGTTTCCACTGGTTTCCACGTTTCAATACCATCAAGTGTCCTTTCCACGATCCAAAGTTCATCTGGACGAGTAGATAAAGGGTAGCTCAGCTTCTTGATGAAGACGGAATGGACGGTGGTTGAGGTTGGAATCATTCGCGCTTCACGGGGAATATATGATGCCGAGGTAGGATCATCCGGTGGTAGGTGTGGAACGAGGCCATGTGCGGATGTAGGTGAGGAACGGTTTGAGACAAATCGGGCATTGTCATCCGTGTTGGAGGTCATCATGTACAGTAGCAATAATATGATATCGAGATAAACTGAACTGAAGCCAAAAAGCCGTGGGGAAAGGTCAATGATGGAAGGACGAACCAAGAACATCGCAATATGTAAAGAGGAGAAGCAAGGGGGACAAAAGAAACCCAAAAACCGGGGTGGCGGACATCATAACGAGTGCATTTTTCTTTTCTCATAGAGGTGAGCGTCGCCAAGTTCTATCTCCAAGGTTAATCACTCGGCCGCTTTAGTGTATCTGGTGGCCGTGACGAATGGATGCCCACGAGGAATCACTTGAACATGTACAGCGAAGCCTGTGTCTTGTGCATCTGGATGGGGTGTCAGCAGCAAAGGTGAACACTCACGAGTCGTGAAAGCATCGAGATGTTGATGAGTTTTCCATCTCGGGTAGAACCAGTTCAAAACGTCCAAAAGAGAATGAGGGAGGTCGTCAAGCATCTGAGCTCCTTGATCAGTATCAATCATCATGTAGAAATCTGACGCTGGTAGGTGTATCGACCATCGTTGTAGCAACGTGTCGGTGACCACAGTTTTGAGGTCTGAAACAAAATGACTGCGAGCATAGTCCGGGTAGATCACCTTGAACGTCTGAAACAGGCTATCGTAGGTGGCCGTAGGGAGGTTGCCCGCGACCTTAGGGGTCAAGATGTTGTAGTAAGGGTTGCGGACGGCAAGTTGCTGCATCGGCTTCAGGTCCAATTGGAAAATAACCGGTCGATGGGGTGTCATAGGCGGAGTCCGGTTGGGTGGGTGCTGAAGTGACGAAGAACCCATAGCGGAAGACGATGCCCTTGTTGGAGAGCGTGAGCGTCGTGTAGGTGAGATCCTCTCGTTGGACATAGCTCTCAGTTGGCAATAGCGGTCCAGGTGAATGCGGAGAGACATAATAAATGGCTAGCGGGTTATATGATACGACGTGTCAAAAGTCAATGGGGCAACAACGCCCGAGGTTGTGAAGATCAACGAAAGGAACAATGATTCACAAAGAAAAGGCCAACTGGTTGGTGAGACTGTGATACAGTGCCGCAAACTACCTTTTTCTTGTGGTTCGCATATGTCGTTGGTCAGCCAAGTTTGTCTTTGATCTTATTCCACATAGAGCGAACGTCTTCCTCGGACTTGCCCATCTTGGTCGAGACCACCTTCCATGAGAATCTAGACTTCTCGTCAGCCTTCAAGGTGCGTAGTTTCTGTTTGTCTTCGGAAGTCCAGAGTGACAGTGGGCTCGAGGAGCGGGATCGGGATTGGTCACGTCGGCGACGACGTTTAGCGGGCGCCTTTGGAGCGGATTTGGCTTTCTGTTTGCGCTTCGGCGGTGATGGTGTTCTGGTAGAAAGCTTCGAGGGTGCAGGTAGGACATCAGGTGACGGAGCGGCAACATGGTGGTGTGGCTCAGGGAGATGAGTTTCCACCAGATCCTCCATAAGTGTCTCTTCCTCCAACATGTCCGGTGATGGGATGGGGGCATTGTCAATAAAGGCGTTGGTCTGGTCCGAG